CTATCCATCCTCCCAGCCCCTCCAACTCTGCCCCAACCCACCCACATACACATTAATCCATCTTACTGCTGCCAAATTAAGTTTTTCTTAACATTTCATGTTACTCTTCTGTTAAAAAGTCTGTAATGGTTCCCTGTTTCCTCTTCCTTCAGTGTCTGGACTGGACCACTCTGTATTAGGCTAGATGCCTTTTTCTCCAACTTGTGCCTTCTTTTATCATAAGATTGCAGACCTCATTTGTCCTGCGAAAATTAAACCCATTTCAGTCTCTGTGCTTTTGTTCCTGATGACCTGCCCTCTCTTCTCCCCCTCAACCTATCAAAAATCTGTCCATCCTTTAAAAACCAGCTTCAGTTTTTTTCATGAAGTCTTACCTGACTACTGCATTTGCATCAGTATCCCTTTCAGTCAATCCACTGGTAGATGTTTACAGGGTAACTGCTATGTGCAAGGTAAGCATTTAAGCTAAGAACTGATTGGGGATATAAAAAAAAGTTATAACACAGAATTCCTCCCCTCAAGGAGTATTCATTCTAGTTGGAAAAATAAAGCTATATGCACATGAACACAAAACAAACAAGATAAGGAAGAAAATAAGTATCACAGTGATACACACCGATAGTAAGTTTTATAGGAGTTTAAGAGAATGGAGAGTTTATTTTTGGCTTGGATTGTCAAGAAAAGCTTTTTAGGACACAGATGTGAAATGAGAGCAAGGGCATTGTGGTCATGGAGAATTGTATGAAAAGAAGTGGGAAAGATCAGGTGTATTTAGGCAATGGTGAACCCCTACATAAAAGAAAGTCATGATCACTTGCTTTGAAAAGCTAAAAGGTGATTTAAAATTGACATTGTTCTTTGCTTATGGTGTTTTAAGAAGATTGCCCAGAGAATAAAGTACTTTCCAGGTTATTTGTCTTAAGAATTATAGAATAGAAAGAGGCAGCTATAGTGCAATGGAAAGGGCCTAGAGTGAATAATTTCTAGTCCCACCTCTTTGGGCTTCTGTTTCCTTATTGGTAAAAATAAAGGATAGTACTCGATAATGGAAGAAGTGGGCACAGCTCCTGTTCTGAAGGACCTGAATTCAAATCCCACCTCTGATACTCTGTGTGATCTTGGACAAGTCACAACCCCCCTGGGCCTCAGTTTCTTCATTTGTATAATGAGGGAGTTAGTCTTAAAGGGTCTCAGAGCCCCTTTATAGCTCTAGACCTGTGATCTTATGATCTCTAAGTTTCATTCCAACTCCAACATTTTGTGACTGAGTTAACCTTTGGTTTCTCTGTGTGTTTACCTTTTGCTTTTATGTTTCATCCAAGATTCATCTTCAGATTAAAATGTACGAGAAGGATAGCTAACATTTTCAGGTACTATGCCAAAGCTCCGTTCATTCAACATCCACATGCTAAAAAGGCCTCCGTAAGTCCTTTGGTGGAGAGGTAGTCAGATTGTTGGTACGTGTTGTACAGGTCTCTGCACTGTACATACTGCTGAGGTAGGAGTTGGGTTAGATTACTTTGTGACCTCTTCCAAGCCAGAGATTCTTTGAGTATTAGAAGGGTGGAGCTGGACATCCAAGGAAGGGAAGATTTCTGTAACGCTGCCTGCTGTGCCTAACAATATGTGATAAGGAAGATGAGAGGACGGGATTTCTCCTGGGCATAGCTTCACTCTTCATATCCCTTTTTGGGGTAAGTCCCACCTTCAGACCTGCTGTGCTCATTTCCACATATTTCAGCTGCTTACGATGAAAACGTCTTACAGAACTTAAATATGCTTTTTCCCCCACTGAGTGTCTTTTTTAGTTAATGAAGGGAGTTTTCTTCACAAGGCTGCAGCTGGCTTGTGGTTTCCTTTTACCAGTTTCTGTGCCCTTTTGCTCATGCTGACTTTAGAAGTATGGGTAGCAGCTTTAGTTTCCCTCTCCATGAAGTCAGTTACTGCTAGAGGACCACAGTGGAAAGGGGCAAAAACTCTTAGACCACATTCTTTTGAATTATGTACAGCCAGTGCTAAATAATTCTACCTGCTGTTTACCAAAAAGGCTATTTTTAGTAGTTCTTTCTTAGCATTATCCTCTGAACTCCACTTGTGACATTATCCCCCATTTCAGAGGTCAGGCATTAGAGTAAAGAGAGATTGACTGGATTGCCCATGGTTAGGTGACAAAGTTAATGAGGTGGATAAAATTAGAATTTAGATGACAGGTTTCTAAGTGTTACTTCAGAGGACAGAATCATGTTACCCTTTCTGAAATATTGGGATTATTGACAAGATATTTATTTTGGAGATAAATGCAGTTCCATTTGAATTGAGCTTTAATTAAAAACAAAATATCTGAACTAAAAAACTAAGAGATTGATTCTAAAATTTTCTGTTTGTATTTCTGAACATCCTAGAAGATTTTGGTTTCATTTATGTAAAGGTATGTCCTGCTTTAAGAGAATCCAGTATGTAAAATTTTTAATTTGCAGAATAAATAAAATGAGAATAATTGTCACAAAATTTTTTGCTATTTTTAAATTCCCTCTAAAATGATCATAAAGTGTTTATGTAGGGGCAGCTAGGTGGCGCAGTGAATAGAGCACTGGCCCTGAAGTCTGGAGGACCTGAGTTCAAATCCGGTCTCAGACCAGACACTTGACACTTACTAGCTGTGTGACCCTGGGCAAGTCACTTAACCCCAATTGCCTAAAAAAAAAAAGGAAAAAAAGTGTTTATGTAGCACTTTAATGTTTCTAACAACACTTTGCCCACAAGAACCCTTTAAAGCAGGCAGTATAGTATTCTTAATCCCTTTCATAGATGAGGACGCTAAAAGTCAGAAGGTTAATAAGCACCTTGCCTACGTTCGCACATCTAATAAGTGCTGGAGCCAGTTTGAACCCAGGTCTCCTCATTCTACATCCAGGCCTTTTTGTTGTATCACATTGCCTCTTATAACAGGTTTATCTCTTGCATTTAAAGCCTTTCACAATATGGATCCAGCCTACCTTTCCAGACTTATTATGTATTATTCCCTTTTGTGCACTTAACAACCTAGTCAGACTGGCCTGTTTGCTGTCGCTTATTTCTGGAATGAACTCCTTCCTCCTTCCTCCTTCCTCCTTCCTCACTTCTCCCTCTTGGATTACCTAGCTTCCTTCAAAATTCATCTCAGGCATTACCTCCTACGTGAGGCCATTTCTGTTTCTTCCTTCCCCCTCGGCAATTACTAGCGCCTACCTCCACCCTGAAATTACCTTTTTTTTATACCTTCTTATACGTTCATGTTGCTTTTCCTGTTAGAATGCAAGCTGCTCCAGGACACAGGCTGTTTCTGTTTTTTTATTTCCTAAGCATGCCACAGGGCCTGACATGTAATAGGTATTTAGTAAATGCTCCTTCCTTGCTTGATTGATTAATAAAATGAATATGACTTTTGCATGCAGCTTTTCTTGGAACACATCTATTGTGTAAATTGACTTTTTTTCTTTGCTAAAATATATATATAATGAAGAGTGAACATTTGTTACAGCCCGTAAGCAGAAACTAGCCCACGTAAAGAGACTGGATTGCCTTTCTTGAACATTAGTAGATGAGAAGCAGTACAATGCCCTAGAAAGAGGTCTGGGCTGGGAATTAAAAGACCTGAGCTCCAAACTCAACTCTGCCACTTAGGCAGGTGACTCAAACTTCCTGAGCCTCAGTTTCCTCTTCTATAAAATAGGGTCAATAGATACCTTCCTTAATGAAATTACATATGTGAAAATGTTGTGTAAAGTGAGTATTATAAGCAATGCTATAAGTTAAAGGTCGCTATTATTTTGCTACTTAATCCAAAGAAAAGTTTCATTTAGTTTACTAACATTGAAAAATTATTGTTTAAATGTTTCTTAAGTGTTTAAAGCAGTAAGACTTGTCTTAATAACTTTTAAGAAACTATTTTTAAGAAGTTGTTTGTTAAAGTAGAGGATGATTATAATATTGGACGGCCCTACATTCTTGGTTCAAACAAGTTCCATGTGCCAACTTGTTGGTGGTCTACTCCGTTTATAAATAGGACCTTTCCTGCATATAGTTGATGACACTGTGTATAGTTCTAAATGGTTAGTTTACTCCAGTTCATTCCTTGGAGGGCCAGTTGACCTCTCTTGATTTCATAACCACAGACTGTTATCCTTAATTCTGCCAGGCATCTTGCATATGCAATTGTTCACAAGGGGTCCAGAGTAAGAGAGCATAGCTGAATCAGTACAAATTCATCCTTTATACTAGTCAAGTCAACAAATGTTAAGTACTTACAATGTGTCCAACACTGTGCTAAATTCTCTTGGGAAAAAAAAACTACTCAAACTACTTAATCCATTAGTAGATAATGGACAACTCGAACTTTTGTTGTAATGAAGTGATACTAAATTCTGCATAGTAGTTGGGTTTGCCATTAACCTCCGAGGCATGAAAACTTTGTGTATCTCCCCTGCATGTTGATCTTCCCTGGAAGTATTCAGAACAGCCAGAATAAGAAACCGGCATGCATCTAAGAGAGGTTATGACTCTTGAGTCTTTTATGTAACTTTAAACTCCATTCCACACATATCAGGAGCTTATCCCCACTCTGATGCTCACACAACTCCCATTCTGCCATTTGGAAAGAGCACTGGACCAGGAGTTAAGAAGCTTGGGTTATTGTCCAGACATTGTTGCTAGTTGGCTGTGTGAATTTGTTCAAGCCCTTCCACCTTTCTGGGCCTTATTTTCCTTATCTCTAAATTGAGAGACTTAAATTAAATGGACTCCAAGGACCCTTCCAGCTCCAATACTGATTCTGTCATTTGAGTGACCACAACTGTTGAGGAAAAATTGCTCCTGCATGCTTAGTACCTTTAAGGAGTCTTAGAATGAGACACAGGTATTTTGAGTAAGAAAGGTATTGACTACAGCACTGTTGGAGCAGATCCAAAGGATTCCTTAGGTAATGTAGTATTAGTTTAAACTGTATATGTCTTTTCTTCTAGGTATCATGAACTGATTACAAAGTATGGGAAGCTGGAGCCCCTGGCTGAAGTGGACCTAAGACCCCAGAGCAGTGCAAGGGTAGAAGTCCATTTTAAAGATCAGGTGGAAGAAATGAGTATTCGTCTGGACCAAACAGTAGCAGAACTAAAGAAACAATTAAAAACTCTAGTACAATTACCAACAAGCAACATGCTTCTCTACCACTTTGACCACGAAGCTCCCTTTGGCCCAGAGGAAATGAAGTACAGCTCCCGAGCACTGCACTCCTTTGGCATTAGGGATGGAGACAAAATTTACGTGGAGTCCAAAACAAAATAGCCTCTGCTACCGTTGTACAGACAGACACACACACACACACACACACACACACGGACTTATTTTCCTTTGAGAGGGAAAGGTTTGATTTTTATTTTGTTTTAAGGGTTGAATTGCGTGCATGTGTAAGTGTGGGTGTGTGCGTGCCTGTGCACCTGTGTGTATGTATGTGTGCATGGGTGTGTGGGTGTATGTGTATGTGTGTGTATGAGTGGGTGTCCCCTGGAACAGGGAGGGGGACCATTTGGGGTTTTCTTTTCTACACAGGTATCTGGCTCGGATAACATAATTGGCCCTGATCTCCAGTCTGTGTGCCCTCATGGAATAAGTAAAGAAGAGATCACTGGATTCCTTTTGTGTTCCTTAGAAGCTATGTGACCACTATGTACCACTACTACCATACCAGTGTACTTGTGAGAATAGCACGAAGGGTTCATTGTTATCTCCCTTTCCTCCCCACTAAGGTTAAATCAGGAAACCAGGAGGCATGGCAGAAATGGCCAGCAGCTCGTCTCCTTGTTCCCTCCCTCCCCCTTCTCTCCCCACCCCCCGCTCCCATCCATTTTCCTTTCATTTTTAATTCAGGTCAGCTCATTGACTTAATTTAACTCTGATTCTGTTTTGACTTGCCATTTCTTGACAAGTGATTTTTCTGGTTTCTAAAATAAATGAAAGGATTTTAATGCTCATTCTCACCTGATTTGGACCTCAGGTATTCCATAAGATTAGATGAGAGTGTTTAAAACTCTACTAGCAACACATGCTGCGGCTGCTACAGGCGTGCATGCAGTTTTTGAGGTAATCTGTTACCAGGAACCTCCTAATATGTTAATCTATCCATTTCAGCCATTGAAAGTGCTCATTCTGGCGCTTTGCATTGATGGTGGGGAAGAGTGATCCCATCCACCAATTTCATCAGGAACAAGCCAAAGGGCAGTTCATTTTATTTTACATTTCAGTAAGTTACCTTAGTGAGAGTGGCAGTACAGGGACACTTCTGCCTAATCTGGGTTAGGTAGGAAAACTCTTTAAAATTGTCATAAAAGAGATTCTTGTCTGAATATTTTTTCTAAGCATAAAATGCGCTCTTTTTTTAAAAGCACTTTTCCTTCAAAGCTTGGTTTTTTACCTACTTTGAAATCTTTTTGTTTGTTCCCATCTTAACCTGTTCCATCAGATGTTTTCCCTACATAGTGAGCCTCTTTCCTTGTCCATCCTATTGACAGGTTGAAGACTTTAGAAATACTTAACTCTGGGATTAAAGATGTTCACATGAAGTATTTCTCAAAGAATGTCATTGGGTATCTGGTTGTACCTGAACTTTTAACCTGTGATAGATGACTTCATACCATGTCACAAATAACTTTTGTTCCTATGAAGCTTTTGGATGAGTCTTAGAATGTCTTGTTTTGGGTGTTGGGTTTATTTTTCTTCATCTTTCTGTTTTTTCTATGCCATAAAGATGGGAGTTTCTTCTCTTAATGCACTTCAGGTTCAGTATCTGTTAGGCTTTTGACTCAGATTTGCTGAACTTCCAGATTCTCTGCAACATTAAAGGTAGAAACCAAAGGGTTCAAGAAAGATGAATGAGGTTCATTCTTCTTCTGCTGTTGCTGCAGGCTTTATCTTCCCAAAATCATAGAGATGAAAATAGGTGATCCAGGCTGTAGATAGAATAGAATGATTATTTCACTCTCGCCTTTTCTTGCATTTCTTTGGAAGTGGGGAGAAAAAGTGTGGCGGCCATGGCGTCATAATTAAAACACATGGTGCTCTGTGTGTGTGTGCGCGTGTATGTGCATATATGTGTGCATGTGCATGGAGGTGAGAGACAAACAACAGAATTGAGAATGTTGTTTCTGTCATTCCTTGGAACAAATCTATTCTCACCCTTGAGACTATAAGAAAATCCCTTAGTAGAAGGCAGAGCAAGCACTTTACACTTTAACCATACGTGGAATGGTCACATTTAATTAGATATTTTACTGTAAGTCGAAGTTTCATGAAGTACATTTTTAATATTAAATAGCAACCCGTTTCTTCTATTGTAAAATGCACCATTCATCAGCTACAATTTCATTCATTTTGTTGTGAAGTTGTAGATAAAGGGAAAATTTCTGGTTTACAGAAGAGCGATTTCACTTGGGTATGGTGCTGGTGTTATAACCAGTGGTATTAGTGCTGTGTGATTATTGACTATAACAACTTGAACAACACAATTACAGGTCTTTTAGAGTCGCAGAACAGAAGCGAATGAAGAAAGATCATATGAGGACCCGTGCTTCTAGATTCACCTAGGTGGTGGCCATGTGATATCTTGATTTTGAAACAAGATTAATTGATTGATGTGTTGAAAACGCATAAAAATTGTTTTTATCATAGTCCCCAAATGTAGAACACTAGTAGGAGACAGTGAGCTTTTAAACATACAAATTAGGCATATTTGATTTGCTTGCAGCTCTCTTGGATTACTTAGAAACCTGACTTCTTCCAGGTTTACTGGCAGCACATCTGAGACATTTGTAAGACTGAGAGCTCTTTTAGCCAGTAGGGCAAAATTGCACACTTCAAGTTCTGCAGGTAGAATATACTTTTTTCTAAAAGAAAAATTCTTTTAGAATTCCTTATTATAAGAAGTTTAAAAGTATTAAAAATTTAATTTTTAAGTTATTAAAAAGAAAGACAAAAGCCACACCAGAAATCTGAGAGAAACATTTATAAGTGTACATCCATGAACAGAGAGAGAGCTATTTTGAGTGTTTGAATGTATTGAAATTTCCAGTTTACTGAATGGATTCAGAGCTGTGTACTTTATAAGACTTGTACTAGCTTCTGCACCTTCTGTGTTCTCTTAACCAAGTGCTACTTCCATAAGGACTCGTTTGTTGTTATTGCCACTTAATGCCACCATCTGCCACAAATGCTTAACATAGCAGTGGATGTTTTAACCACCTAGTTTCTCAAGAGCTTTTGGTGGAAATTAAAACCAAGATGAAACAAACCTGTATGTATAGAAGTTGAATGGTATGACATACTTTTTAATTTTATGTGTGTTTACTTTTTTAAAAATGTTTTTTCAAGGCTAACCAGATGTTACAACTGTGTTGCTAAAACAGCAGTGTTACAAGCATAGAACAGTTGTTTCACAGGCAGGAGGAGGAATAGTCACCTTTCGATTCACATTGATAACTTACTACAGTATGTAGAAGTTAATGTGCTTGCTACGTGGGAAGTGTTGGGATATGCAAGGTAACTGAAATGTGGGTCTGGAGTGCTAGATTGTGATGAGCAAAGCCATTTCTTCCTGTAAATTAGATTCTCTCCCCGCCCCCCTTTCATGTTGGATTGGAAATGCAAGCAAACTAGACTCTATGAAAACATCCAGAAGCTGTTCATGTTTTTCGATTGTATTGTGAACACTCTGCTGTTCTCCATGGGTGCTTCATCAGAATATGTCCATTGTTGTGATGGAGAGGACTGGACTCTCAGGCTCTTGACTCTGCCAGCTGTCTCCTGCAGTTAATGGAAATAGATATTTTATTTTAGAATATAATTTAAACATGAAGGTCTATTCTTTGCACTTTTTATTAATATATATAGAGAGATAATCTTTAAAAAAAATTAAAGATCCAAGTCCATTTTCTCTTTGTGTCTTGATTCTTTCTGGGGTTCTGGAGTCGAAATTTTGCATGTGCTTCTATCTATTGCCAATAATCAGCGGTGATTCTGTTGCTAAGTTCTATGGGGACCTATCTTCGTCAAGTTCGCAAGTGACATGATTGACCATTGCAACAAACTTAGTTAAAACTGTGTCTGACCTGCCAAAATACAAAATAATGTTACACTTAGGAGTTGTAGCAAAAGTTCAGTCTTGCTTCTTTTGACAAGCTAAGTTTGCTCCTGAGATATTCAGCACCTTTCTTTGAATGAACTTGAAAGTTTCACCTTTTTGAATTTCTCATGCGAAGCTTACACTTTTTTTCCTTGAGATACTTGTATCTATCAGCCCTAAAGGTAATTTTGAGCCATGTAAATGTGCCAGTAGTCTGCTGTATCACTTGTTCAATTAGTGTCTAACCTTTTATCATGAAAGAAGAGGTATCAAGATCCAAGAGCTATACTTGGTATTTACTAGAACTTCGGGGTTAGTGCATGAAGTCTAAGTAAAATTGATGACTTTAAACACCTCCCTTGACCATTTAGAAATGCAAAGGCAAAATTGTTTGACCATTTCTTGTTTAAATTGAAAATTGCCTTCTGTTCAGCTTTGAAAGGAGTGATATATTTTCTATTTCCATACCACAATTCTGACATTGTATATCTTGATCTCTAAGTACTTGCAAGGTAGACATGCATTGAGATACCCTGTGCTCAAGTCTGTAGTAGGGAAAGATGTGATACAGTATGGCAAATGACCCAAAGGTAGTCATTAAGGTGAAGGAGAGAACAAGTTAAGTAACGGTATTTACTGTTCTGAACTGTTTTGTCCTCTGGGAAATTTTTTACTTCTTTACGTATTCACTAGCTCCTGAGTTTAAGGTTTATTAGTCATATCTCATTTATATAGCATTTAAATAAAAATAACCAATTTATGTGTGTTTAAAAGGAAGCAGGCATCCAACCTGATTTTAAATAAGCCATTAGAGAAAGTGTAGCTCTCATGAGTTAATTCATGAGAGGATACATAAGGCACATTAAGTATTCTTTAAAATATAATGAACATCTTATGTTGCCATATCTTTGAAAAGTAAAATTAGAAACGACCTTTAAAATTGTTTGGGGAGGACTCCCAGGGGCAGAGCCAAGATGGCAGAGTTGAGCTGAGCTCTCCCAACATTCTCCTCCAAACAACTTTAAAATAACACTTCAATTTCTGGAGTGGCAGAGCCAACAAAAGGTCAGAATGAGCCATTCTTCCAGCCCAACACATCATAGGTGGGAAAGAGATCTATGATGGGGGGGGGGGGATCGTTGACCTGGAGCCCACACAGATGAAACACAGGACGAGGTGGTGGGGACAGAAGTGGCAGCAGCATCAGAAGTTCTCAAGCCAGAGATAGTAAGGGGACCTGGCAACTGCTCAGAAAAAGATTACAGGGGACCCTTGTGCTAGTACTGGATGCAGAAGCAGATTCTGTTTGTATCCACTTCTGCATCACAGTTCAAGGGGAGGGAGGAGCACTTGTGGTCAAGAGGCTGAGAGAGATTGAGAGGCAGTTTTGGCAACTCCATTGCCTATACACACTGCTAGGTCATAGTTCAAGGGCAGAGAGGAGCACTTTCAGTCAAGAGGGAATGGAAGACTTCAAGGATAGTATCGCTTCTACACCCAAGGAAATGGGCCCTAAGGAGCAGTATCAGTTACAATCCCAAGGGATCAGGGGTCCTTCCTGAGTAAAGACCAGAATGCAGACTAGAAGAGCAATGGTCACACCTCCCCCAGATCATACCACCTTGAAAGCACTGAAAACTTCCAAACCCCTCCATTCCCTGCCCTGCCAAAATACAAAATAATGTTACACTTAGGAGTTGTAGCAAAAGTCCAGGCTTGCTTCTTTTGACAAACTCAGCTTGCTCCCGAGATATTCAGCATCTTTCTTTGAATGAACTTGAAATTTTCACTTTTTTGAATTTCTCATGCAAAGCTTTTTCTTTGAGGTACTTGTATCTATCATCCCTAGAGGTAGTTTTGAGCCATGTAAATGTGCCAGTAGTCTGCTGTATCACTTGTTCACTTAGTGTCTAACCTTTCATCATGAAAGAAGAGTTATCAAGATCCAAGAGCTATACTTGGTAGCTCTGAAAACAGTAATGCAGAAAAAGCTTGAAACAGTGTCCACATCCGCCACACTCCCCTCCCACCCATGCTGACAACAGAGTCCAACATTAACATAAAATTCCAAATCAAGAAATAGGTTGGGGAAAGGAGCAAACAACAACAACAAAAAAAGAACGAGACTGTAAAAAGTTACTATAGTGACAGGAAAGAACAAGAAACAAACTCAAGACAACAAAGTCAAAACAGCTACAAGCAAAGCCTGGAAGAGGGATTTAACAAAAATATGAACTGGACACAGTCCAACAAGAATTCCTGGAAGAATTAAATTAGTTTCAGAATCAAGTAAAAGTAGTAGAGGAAAAATTAGGTAAAGAAAAGCAAAGGAAGAAAATTATGAAAAAGACAATTAACAGCTAGATTAAAAGAGGCACAAAAAATACTGAAGAAAATAACACCTTAAAGAACAGAATTGGCCAAATGGAAGAAGAGGTACAAAAGCTCACTGAAGGAAATAGTTCCTTAAAAATTAGGATTGGGCAAATGGAAGAGACATAAGACATCAAGAAACAAAAGTTTTAAAATAAAAAAAATAGAAAATGTCAAATATCTCATTGGGAAAAAACTGACCTGAAAAATAGAGCAAGGAGAGATAGTTTAAGAATTATTGGATTGCCTGAAAGTCATGATTAAAGAACGAGCCTAGGACTACTGCTTCCAGGATGGTGGAGTAAAAAGGTAGTCACTCTCACCCTTCCCTATCAACCTCTGAAAACCCAGAAAATACTGCCCCAGAAAAAACCCTGGAACAGCTGAACCAGAAGAAAGATGGGGTGCAGCAGTGCAGTAGCCCAGGTAGCTAGAGGGATTAACGGGAAAAGCCCCTCTTACCCTGGGGGAAGGGGAGCAGTACAGAACCAGGAGTTGCCCAGTCAGCTAGTGGAAAGACCCACTTTAGCACACCAGGAGGAGATTCTAGTGCCTCAGCATTTTACAGCAAATGGGTCTCCCAGTGCCTCAGCAAAAATAAGGGAAGCATCACTACAAAGGGCCCCAGGTGACTAAGTACCCTGAAGCATTCGTCTGAAAGGAGCTGTGGAAACCTAGAGTTGCCTGAAAGTTCCAGCCTTGTTGATTCCAGCCCAACACCAGGTAAGCTGTCAGAATCCTACAGCCTCCAACTGCCAGAGGAGATCCCAAAGCCCAGGTGGTCAAGCAGGCAAACACCAACAGCTGGACCCCCGAGTACCTCAGTGAGGGTGGGGTAACTGGTGGAAACCAGCTCAGAAAACCACCAGGTGCCTCAGCATTCTACAGCAAAGGAGTCTCTCAGTGCCTCAACAGAACTAAGGGAGGCAGCACTGCAAGGGGCCCCAGGCAGATAAACATCCAGCAGCACCCATCTAAAAGGAGCTAAACAAAGCTAAAGGAAAGGAAAAGCAGGCAACCTAGATTTGCCTGAAAGTCCCAGCCTTGCTGATTCCAACCCAACACCAGGTAAGCTGCCAGAACCCTACAGCCTCCAATTGCCAACATAAGAGGCCCCAGCACACAAAACCAGTGACTAAGACCTAGGCTTCCAACACAAGAAGCTTGGGTCAGTGCCCTCTGCTCCCCAGCAGGAGAGCTTAATCTCTTAAAGGCCAGGGAATAAAGAAACACCATGAGTAAAAAGAAACGTACGATAGATTCATATTATGAGAAGAGTGAAGATCAAGATAGAAATTCTGAAGAGGACAACACTGTCATCAAACCCACCTCTGCAACATCAAAAAGGAATACGAACTGGTCTGAAGCCCAAAACACCTTCTTAGAAGAGCTCAAGAAGGATTTTAAAAGTCAAGTGAGAGAGATAGAGGAGTCCTTAAAAAGTACAATTGACCAATTGGAAAAAAAAAGTACACTGAAGAAAAAAATCCCTTAAAAATACAATTGGCCAACTGGAAAAAAAGTACACTGAAGAAAACAAATCCCTTAAAAATACAATTGACCAAATGGAGAAGAAAGTACAAAATCTAACAGAAGAAAACAATATGTTAAAAATTAGAATTGAGCAAATGGAAACTAATGACTCTATGAGAGAGCAAGAATCAGTCAAACAGAAACAAAAAAATGAAAAAATAGATGAAAACATAAAATACCTCATGGGTAAAACAACTGACCTGGAAAATCAATCCACTAGAGACAATTTAAAAATTATTGGCCTACCTGAAAATCATGATGAAAAAAGAGCCTGGACATTATCCTTCAGGAAATCATAAAGCAAAACTGCCCTGAAGTCCTAGAACCAGAGGCAAAATAACTATAGAAAGAATCCACCGCTCCCCACCTGAAAGAGATCCCAAATTGAAAATGCCAAAGAATATAATAACTAAATTCCAAAATTATCAGATTAAAGAGAAAATACTGCAAGTATCCAGAAAGAAACAATTTAAATATCATGGAACCACAGTCAGCATTACACAGGACCTTGCAGCCTCTACATTAAAAGACCATAGGGCATGGAACATGATATTCTGTAAGGCAAAGGAGCTTGGAATGCAGCCAAAGATTAACTGCCCAGCGAAAATGAGCATGATTTTTCAGGGAAGGAGATGGATATTCAATGAAATAAGGGACTTCCAAACCTTCCTGATAAAAAGACCAGAGCTCAACAAAAAAATTGATTTTCAAGTACAAGATTCAAGAGAGACATAAAAAGGTGAATGGGACAGAAAGATACAATATATTGTTAATAAGGGCAAAATGTTTACATCCCTACAAGGAAAGATGACACTTGCAGCTCTTGAGAACTGTATTGTTATTATACCATGTTAAAGGAGTATATATAAAGGGGGTGAATATAAGTTGACTTTGATGTAATGAT